TCTCTTTAATAGTTCAGTTTCTAAAAATCAATATGTAAGTGATGTTTACAAGAATGAAATGACATATGATCGTCTGGATTTCACTACTGCTTAGTGAAACCATTACATTCTTACTCATATATCTTATTTCTTACTGCTATCACTAATGTTTTGCATGGTACTTGTTTAACGACGCATTTCTTTTTTGTTGTTATTCTGTGGTTTCATAGTTTATTTTATAGAGTTTATGATTTCTTGGATAAATACTTTAAGGCGTAATCGTTCTTTTATCCTTAAGGAATGCTTTTAGAAGTGCTCGCTGTGTCTTTTATTCGTTCGTTATCCGATCATGTTCGATTGATGATCCACTTTTCGTCACATCCATCAATGGCTACACACGTACGCGAAGCTAAGGGTTCTGTTTTAACATCGTTAGACATAGGTCGTTCTGACTTGCCAGAGATTGCATGGTTTTTCTTCCTATCTTGCCACGTGAATTCATCGCCCTGGTTCAACGCAATCTAGAAGTTTCTACAACGAAAATCATTTCATAAGTTAACATCGTTTAGAAACAGTTGATATGATTGTTCGTTCACAGCTAATTGTTTTTTTTCCTTTGTATCTTGTAGCAGTCGCTTTCGATGTATTGTCCTTTGTATTGACGTCGTGAAAATGTCGTGCACCATTCGAACTAGGTTGTCGTGTGACGATAAGATCGGCAGTATCTGAGAGTGAAACATGAAGTCCATGATGAAGAATGATTGATTCGTTACCTTCAAGATTTTCTTTGCCATCATTATCGAACTACCTTTAAGAAAAGAGAGCGCCAAGAAAAATACTTATTTCTCAGGATTGAGATTTTGCTAGTGATTTTTCTGCAATAATTCCGTTCGATACATGTCGTAACACATTGTTTTCTATTTGATCAATTTCTTATTCGGTATTCGATCCAACATCACATTTATCACCCTCTAAATATCCTAACACTTCTTACATCCTATTCGAATCGTCGTACTCACCATTCACAAAACTCTTCGGACTTTTTTGCCTTTGGCTTCGGTTTGTGCTTCAGGTTTTTTTCGTCTTTATGACGAATGTTGTTAAATGTTGGTCGAATCGAATCTCCTTAGAATTCTGCGCTAGCCGTGGTAGAGTGATGCTACGTTGACTGGAGAGAATGAGTTTGTTCCAGACAAGTCTGGTAATGTTTTCACGACTCCTAAGTGATGAGGGACTTGATGGGCACTAGAAGGAGTCGAACCTCCGCGTGGGTAGTTTGGACCGTCCTCATAAAGAACGGGTTCACTACTACTTCGTTACCGCTTCCTTAGTAAATGAGCAATACATGGGAAAACTATTGGAAAGATTGTACTAATTATGTCACTTTGTTGAGATTTAGAGGATAAAGGATAATAATGATTAACGGTGATGAACAGCAAATGATAGAGTAATAAGAAAAATAAAAATAAAAGATGAAGAGTAGTGAACTCTCACTAATATTCTGGTTGGACCATTTTGATAAAAACTTAGCGTTTGTCGTCAAATTGACTATTTAGGATGCTTTTAACAAATTTACATATATTGTGCACAATCTCAATGTTCCAAAATATCGTTTGAAAATCGATCATTCCTGTATTTTCGGAAAAAGTCGATTTTTGAATGTATTCCTTTTCTTTCGTTTTTCTTTCCTTTTAGTTATCTATAGTCTTGTATGTTGTTTATGGAAGTAATCTGAGGCTTTTTTAAGAACTTCGTAAATCACGCATTATTTGGTCTGCTCAGTGAAGTGAAGCGTTTTTACCATTCACCACCACATTTTCATGATGTATTTATTTACTGGAAGTCTATTTTTGTCCACCTAACTCTTTTACTTTACTGAAGCTTCTATATAATAAAGGTCAGAAGGGTTTTTGTCTTACGTTTTCGTTTCATCGATTTCGTTCCGAAGTCTATGCGGAATTTTTTTTTGCTCATCGTGTTCTTCGAGAGCGTAGGAGTGGGTGGTGGTGTTCCTGCTACAATCGTTTTATTTCTCCTCGAATATTTTCTTTTTTTTCATTTTTTTCCGTCAAAATCATTTTGACACTTTCCAGACTGAGCATGTAGATATTTGGATCCTCACTGATGTTCCTAAGATTTCTTTTCTATTTTGTTGCGAAGTCCAGCTTCATACACTATTGAAATGCTTACTTTATTCGTCATTTTTCGTCTTTCTCCTCCATCTTCATCATTGTGTGATTGTACTGTGTTATTTCAACTTCGACTGTCTATATTAGTCTATTTAACCTGCGTTTTATAAGGTTTGCTGGTTTTTTTGTTGTTAATGAATTTGAACTTTACAGGCTGTGCTTGCAGGCCTTATAGTAGTGGATGTGTCTGAAAGAAGGGTTTTAGTGTGATTCCTAAAGTGAGTTTGTCTACTCTAGTATTTTATTAGCATAAAAGTTGTAAGAGAGAGGGAAAAGAAGAAAAGCATTGTGTAGCCAAAAGATTTGTGCCTCTTCACTTTTTCTTCTTAATTTCTCTCTGTCATTATTTTAATCATACCGTAGTCATGTTGGTAATCGATAGACCACGATAATATCTTGGTATTTGAACAATTTGATGATAATCAATCTATCATTATATAGATCCAAACGAATCATAGCGTGAAGTGTTGTTTCACGTATTGTTTTCGTTCTTTCGTGGTAATCACGTCATCCATTCACGATGGTGGTCTGTTCTGTTCATGATGACGTCAGCGAATATCATAGGTCCTGAAGTGATGCTCACTGATGATTCAATGCATATAGTAGATATCAAAAAACTTGTAACAACTTGTATATTTTCACATTTCACATTGCCTATGGCTTCATAGTACTGGTGTGGCCTGTAATATCCGTAATGCTCTAGAAGTTTTGGAACTGTGAGTTCTTTTTGTAATCGGTTATATAATCTCTTTGCTACGTTCTGGATCTATACATCTCACTTCGTGTTTTTTGTCTCAGATTTCTTTCTGAAGTGAACACGTTTAATTCAAAACTTTCGAATCTTTGTCAAGTTCGATTTCACAATAGGCAAAATAGACAATGATCTGTTTTTATAGTCCAGGCATTTGTTGAACGATAAAAACTCATGAGGCAAAATCCTGTAGTGTTATTCTACTTCCTCATTTATTCCCACCTCTTATTACTAGAGTAACTTTTAATTAACATTACTTTATATTTGGTCCATGAGTGATCCGTGTTCACGTAAAATTGTGAATATTTTAACACATTTTCCAGTTGACTTATGTTTTCATTATTGGGCGAGTTGTTTTCTTCAGTGGTGTCACGAGGTAGTCCTTTGCTAGGGCGTTCTCAGGTCGCCGTCTCTACCACCGTCGCCCGCCCTTCTTTATTAGAGGGAGGTTGGCAACCTTGTGAGTAGGTCTCTTATAGGACGGCTGCGAATGCTCGAACTGGTTTAATTTCACCTGGGCTTCTGGATGGATTTGTCGAAGTTTTTCTGAGTTTAATGAATCACGTCGGATATGAACTACTATCAGTACATCGCAGTTTGGCACAGGGAAATATCTCCCCGCTAGGCGCTAAACCATTGGTGGTAGGTTAGCTTCATTTATTGTAGAGCAGGGCTTCCTTTGAGGATGGTTTATATTTTCTTATACGTTCTTTTCGGAAGTATTATTGGTTTGATTAATGTTTTCTTGTTTGTAACATAAAGTTACTGTAATAGATTTTGTTACTTAAGATACTGCAGCTGTGTCATATGTATTTATCAGGCGGTGAGGAATCTCCGAGAGACTAGGTAATCTCGGCCCCGAGTTTTTTTTTTGGATGGGAGGGGGAAGCGGGTTGCTAGAAAAAAGTGAAGAATGTTTTATATGCTGTTGCACTGAGTTATGGAGCGGTTTAGTTTGATAATTGGATTGCTGCTTCTTCAAAACTTATTACTTGTCGAGAGTGAATTTTAATAATGAGTCAACAATGACCCAGTAGACGAACTTATTAAAGTTGTTGTTGATCAGTGAAATCACATGTGTATTATTAAAGATATAAATTAGGATTGTTAAAGTCTGCTCTACCCTATTCTTTAATTTTCATGCAATTTATAAACAGAATAGTATGAACTCCTTTCCTTAGTGGTTTAGCACCTCGTTGTAACCATGAATTGTTCCTGCATGTTGAACTGTGATATATAGTGGAGTGTTCGTCACCCAACAAGGTCATTGCGCTGGTAAAAAGCTTAACATTTCCTTCCGAAAGCCTATCGAAGATTAAACCTACTCCCTGAAGCGCTGCAGTGCTGGAAAAACGTTTTCAATGGACAGGGAGTCCTCTCCTTTCCACGTGACCTGGCGACCACTCCAGTTCCTTGGCACGGATTTCCTGAGACTTCTGGGAAAGATCTCTTCAGAATCTGCGGTATAGCAGGTGAAAAGAAAGTATGCTGGAGCGCAAACGAGCAATTCGTGGAAGTGGGCCATTCAGTTAAGCTGATCTGTTGTGTGAACCAAAAACTTATCCCCATATTTCCAAGATCGGCTTTCTGTTAACCTTGACGTTGATTGATAATTCACTGTTTTGCTTCAATAAGCAAACACGAGATTGAAATTATATAATTTATAAGCATACAATAGCTGATGTTTCGGCGGTTTTGCCTTTTTCAGAGCCTGGAAAGGTTAAATTGACATAGAATTTACTCAGCCAAACACTTTCATGGCCCTAGCAGAGCATGTCAACTTGACCCTTCGTGGCTCTGGAGAAGGCGAAACCGCAGAAACGTCAGCGTTTGTATGCTAATAAATTCTATAATGTCAACCTCGTGTTTGCTTATTGAAGAAAAGCAGTGAATTATCCCCATATTTTTCATCGGTACCAGATTATTGCGAAATGGAAATCAAAGCGATATTAACGAAATCAATAACGTTAATGTTTTCATCAATTCTATTTACACTTAATATTTTTAACAGTCATCCCGAAGGTGAGCTGTGTTTTTGGCTCTACAGCTTAACTAGTCTCGTTTAGTCGTCAGGTGTGGGCATGGGCATATCAAAGCTACTGGTTCGTTTTTTGCTAGTTAATCCTAGAGCTTGTTCCTGGTAAGCTACAACTAATGGAACTTCCCATGAGGTACAAATAAACAATTTTTCATTTTTTTTTCAAGTACCATAACTGCACACTATTTTTCCTTCATTGAAAAATATTTTGCGAGTATACTGTTTCTGGTAAATTCTTATTCTTCGGACACTATTTTCAATAGTGCTTTAGTTTACACATATCTGTTCTCCTTCTTTTCGTTCTCCTTTTTGTTTGTACATGGTTGTTTCTGAAACAGAAACCTCTTATCGTAATGTCTTGTTTATTGGAAAGAAAAACTTCTTTATTTTAGAATGTCGGCCAGTTTCCCTGTCCCTGCACCTGGCCCCTTTAATTCTCAATCGCCGGTCTTCCCCCAGCCATTCGCCTTTCCAGCCGAGGCATATCAACAGGTTCGCTTCACTTTGTGTCCATTTTCTTTTGGATTATCACGCATAATTGCATATTATTTATATTGTAGAGAGGTTTACCTATGACGAGTAAGCGAAATCATAGGTGAAACTTATTTCAGAACTTGTGCCATTTTAGGGATTCAACCCTTCTTCAAACCCGTTTCCAACATCAAATGGAGCGCATCACTCGAATCCGATGTTTGATGCGAAGCAAATTAACGGGTTTGGTTTTAGTAAATAGGGAAAAAGATCTATTTGGAAACCAAGTGATTTATAGCAAGAACTGTCATAAAATAAATAGTGTCATGTTTAGTAAAGTATGATGAGTAATCCATCCTTTTCCGATCGTATAATGCTAGCAATCTGACTACCGACGGATTTATTGCTGAGTCATTAGAAAAATGGTTTAGCTTTATGGTTGACATTTTTTGAATATATCTTTAAATCTAGAAACAACTGAAAGCTTTCGTAGAAGTCCACTTTGAGTTCGCGATTAAATACATGAAAATAATGAGCCATCTGAATTTCCTTTGAAATAAGAAATAAATAGAGTGAGAATACCGTTACAGTAACCTTGTGTTCAGGTATGGATTCACGAGTACGCAAGCACCTATAGGTGGTGCAAGCCTAATCTCTCCAACAGCGAGCGTTCAGGCTCCATTTGGTGCTCATCCAATGCGTCAATTTCATCAACCGGGAATGCCAAAACCATGCGTCGCTATTCGACCAAGAATGCTTCAACATATGGGTGGTGTGATGCCCATGAACGGTCAAATGCATCAAATGCCAAATCAGCAACCACCACTTACACCAATCAGTCATCAACAACAGCAGCATCAGTTGCAGCAACATCAGCAACAACAACAGCAACAACAATTACAACACCAGCAGCAGCACCACCACCAACAGCAACAACAACAACAACAACAGCAGCAGCAGTTGCAACAACAGCAACAGTTGCAACAGCAGCAGCAAGTGCAACAACAACAACAACAACAACAGCCACATTTGCAGCACCAACAGCAGCAGCAACAACTATCTGTTCAACAAGGAATGCACCAACAGGCATCTAATAGTCAGCATATTCCATCACAGTCACCAAATCAGGCTCATCCATGCTCAAGTCCGATGCAAGGCAACATGCAAAGTCCCGGATCTAACAGGTTAATAATGTTCGCATTTTCTCCAATTTAAAATTGCATTTTATGGCGAAGACGGTATATGTCTGCTCGTAGAGAGAGTAAGGTTGAAAATCTATTTTTTTCCTTTCGCGAAACTGAAACCTTGCGACATTTTGTTCTTATTTCGTTATGTCGAAATTAGAAATTATTTAGTACTATTATTTGGCCCTGAAAATGGTTGCTAGCATATTTTTGTTAGTCTTTTCTCTTTTTATGGCGCGTTGTTAATATGAGAGTGTCGGTCTCACCATATATTAATAATAGAGGATCATATAAACAATTACTTTTTAGTACTTTCACATGCTTCAATTACTCTTTCCTTTTCTTCTGAATTCGTTCATAATTTTGATGGGAATATTGTTTAGGGTAGTATATTCTACAAACACCATTAGACCGTCATCAAACGGAAACAGTCATATGAAGACCGAACCATCTCCAGCTGGTATGCAACAAGCGTCAGGTGATCAGGTAATGTGTTCCATTTCAAACTTTTTCATTGCTATATAGTCGTAAAGTAATTAGTCCATAAGTCCATATTACAGTAACTCTGTAAACTTCATCTTCATTCGTGTGAAAGTTATTAACCAAGTTTTTTCTGTGGCTACTTTTGTATCCCCGAATAATTTTCTTAAAGGTTAATTTCGTGGCCATGTTTACAGATTTCAATGAATTCGGGAATATCAGCTGGCACAGCGATGAGCCCAACATCATGTTCTGTATACGGTGGCAGCTCACAGCCTCCGCTGGCTTCGGATCAAGGACCACCTCCACCACCGATTTCTAGCACTCCTTTTCCTCTTGTCACTCATTACGATATGCCACCTGCTTTTCAGCATTTACAGGAATCGTTTCAGGTAAAGATTTGTGTGTCATCAGTTCCGATGAATAGTCCAAGTGGTTCGAGTTTCGAGCACCTGTTGAATTACATTTTAGTATAAGTTTTTAAAAAATTACCTAGATCGTACGTAACAATATTGTTACAGATGAGAAATCCGGGACTTCAAATGTATTATAAGCGGCGAAAAACTTTGCTAGTTTTGCCTTACCCTAACTGCTCTAATCTTCCTGTAAGTTGTTTATTCCATGGATTTTCGACTTTATCCCTAAATAAAACCATAATGATTCTATGTAAAAGAGGATTTTTGAGAGTCTCAATAACAACAATTAAGGTTTTCTATTTTAGAACAATTAGTTTTACGATTCGTAAATTTTTGTTTGTCCCTTTTTCTTTTCTCCTTTTTTTCACTACCTTTTTGCTTACCACTCTCAATTAGGAAAGTTTTCCTTTAGTTTTTTCTTGTCCAAGAGAAGGAAGTATTTTAATTCGCTGATAGGGGCACATGTGGCGCGCTACAATACACAAGAGATCGATCCGGCACCCTAGGCCCACCAAGCCTTCCATCCCTCTGGGGTCTACAAGTTGGTACCAGACTACTCTGGGAAGATAGATGCACTGGCTCGAAACAGCAGGCCAGGCCACCGCGAGTCATTGTAAAGGTCAAATATGCATTCAGTCGCCTCCAAACGATACTTTGTGATGTTGAATGCATGGCGCACCACTCAGGGATTGATCAACGCCGGCAGCTTTATCCTCTATCCTTTTTTTGTCGCTCATTAGAATGCAGTGTTTAGTGATTAGTTTATTTAGGGAGTTTATATTTAGTGTACGTTGTTATGTAACATGTAGGACTGACTACTTTATCACACGTAAGATATGAAAATATCATAACCTGATAAATAGTTGGTGCAAAGAAATTACAGTTGTGATTTGTCTAACGAAATGTGGAATATTCTCCATAGAGTGCACAATGACTTCATTACTGACTCTATGCAGAGCTACTTGAACTGAATTCATTTTAGAATGTGGCGCCGGTTGAGCCGCCAACCTTTGCGTTTCTACCACATACGAAACATTACGATGTAGTCTACGATAGACGATATCCGACAATGAATCCAATGTTACAAAGCCAAGCTGGGATGCATAATAGGCAACCATTGTTAGTATCTGTCTATAGCCGTTGAAAATCTACGGACATGAAGTTGAGCGGCTTTACAGTGTGGTTAAAGGTTTGTGATTTAGACAAAGCCCTCAGATGATGTCTCCTGCCTTTACGCAGCCTCAGCCACCTAATAAGGCCAAGGCTCCACCGGCGAAGAAGGCACGAAGTGGTATGAGAGTATGGGTGTTTTGTTTTAGGCTTTTACTCGCAGAGTACTTTGATGTTAATATCATACTTGATTTGCCACTGTTATGCTTAGCATAAAGTTTTAGACATACAAAGGTTTAGCTTACATTAGCTGGATCAGTTTGACCAATGTGTTATCGTCAACTTTCGTTCTTAGGGTTCTCACAGCTATCCAGTATCATTAGACACAAGTCTTCCATATGGTTTATTCAGGAGGAAAATATGACTAGGGATATAATTTCAAGCGGTCATATTTTCAGACTCAACCGATGCAAGCTATTCTGGTATGCCCTCGAACAATGGTATGATGTTGGCACCTGGATGTATGCCGCCACGTCACATCCAACAAATGCCACCGGATATGTTGCAACACTATGGTGTTGTGCCCACGTCGCACATGGGAATGAATCCAACTACTATGCAACAGTACTATCCTGGTGCATCACCAAGTGCAGTACCAACAAGCGTGGCTGCATCTGTGAGTAACGCATCGTCCATGAATATGTCGAATGGGATGTATCCTATGGGTGGCGCGCCTCATAGCAGTGCATCAATGAGCATGAGTCGACTTTCGGATATGTCACAACAAGTGAACGACAACAGTGAGTGAATGATTCACAAAATTCAGAGTTTCATTTCCCGAACCACTCGTTAAGGATGTTCTAGTCAGATGGCAATTTGGAACGGTTTTTGAGTGGTTATTAAAGGATTTTTTATGCTTTATTTTTGCACTATTGTCGTGCCATTGTTCCTCTAATCACCAAGTTTCTCGAGCTGACGCCGGTAACGTCTCTATCCATTTCGGTCGCATTTATCATTTGCTTAGCAAGTCTCTCCGAAGAATTCACACAAGAAGCGTCATATTTTTATTAGGGTTCTCTTCAAGATGTGTTAATATTATCACCATCGGGTCGATGCTTGTTATAGTATGCTCTTGGAATTCCATAGAAACCTTACTGTTACTATTAGTTACTGGCGGCAGTTACCCAATTGTTGTGAGACACTTTAGCTGGCTGGTTTACTTAAGTGTCGACATCTTGGCGATTGCCGCAGCACTCTTAATCTTTGATATCAAAATGCAACTGAAAATCTATACCAACCATGTGATTTGTGGTATTCCTCAAATCACTCATGTTTGTTCTGTTTACAAACATTTAGTTTCTGAGGGCTGCACTAGGGAAGAAAAGCCGTGTTATAAGGACGTGGACGCACGCGTAAGTATTCATCATCTTAATTGTAGTCTTATTGCCGTTGTAAACTGTATAAACCACGTTTGGAACTGTGCGTACTTCTGTCTTTTAGTTCTCATACTAATTATTCATTATGCCTATTTTCCGATACATACAGGGAGCCAGTACATTCTTAAGTGAATTACATCCACTTAGTGCGAGGCAACACCTCTAACTCACGAGTTTCTCGTGAACATCGTTTTCGCTCTAGTAATGTTGTTCCGCACACGCAGTCAAAATTGCTCGATTTCGTTTCGCGATGCCAGTGCTTAGTGTTATGGGAATGAAACTGTCAAGGAATCCCTGACAATACTTCCGCCTGTCATTTCCACTTCTTTATTATCCCACTCTCCATTTTTCGCACGATGCTGTTAAAAATGGACTGAATAGTTTTGCCAACATACTATAGCATTCTTAGGCACTTATCTCTACATTAATGACGATATCTTGTAGAATCCTAAGTTGTTGTGGTAATAACGTTATCTTGTAATTTGCTAAGTTTTGGTTATTAAGCTATTATACACTTATATTTCAACAAAAATGAAAGACGTTCTCCAATTTAGAGAAAGTGAAATGTGACGGAGTTTTGTATTCACTCGATATCTCAATGATTGTAACATTGAAAAGTATTGGAAAAAATCGACCCTACTGAAATTTTTGAAGCCCCAAGTCATTGATCTCTTTCGTCCAGTGCTGTGCTAAGTCCCCTGAGAAAACTTATGTAGGTAGTTCGTCTTTGATACAGACAGTATGTGAGCGATAGTGGGTAATATCTGCTAATATAATAATGTTTGTCACCTTACCTGCACAGCAACAGGTTCTTTTAAACTTCTACCATCCGGATGCTTTGAATTGCGATAAGCAACAAATGAAGAGCCGTTTCGTGGTCTAGATGAGGATTGACGATAACTTCTTCAAATGGTCGGGTTTGATCGTATCGGGGCCATCTTTCGACCGATTTTTCACTGACGAGATAGAATGTGAGACATTGGAATAGAGAAATTTCGATATCCGTATTGCCAAAATTGATTGAAGCTGGTATGAGGCTGTCATAGAAACGGAATTAGAAGTGGATAACATTTCTCATGTTCTTTCAAGTAGTAGTTGGTTTTCCACCTACTCATCGGAAGTGTTTATGCTCGTCTTGTAACCATCAAAGTTCCGGAATGCATTGAAGTTTTTCAAGCTGTTGCAGAGCTTTCCGGACTCAGACAGTAAGTTGTTATCTATTACCCATCCAGGCCAAAGCAGTCATATCACAGCGTATTCCTCGTCAATGTTGTCGATGATGATATTTTTTCAAACACCAACTGAAGGACTATTATTACATCAACTTCTAACGGTTTTGGGACGTGCAAAGGGAGGAAAGGGTGCTTATGGCGCAGTGGTTAGAACTTTCCAAAAAGATTCATTTGGCCGGTGGTTCTATTATAGGCTCATCAAGTTCTATTTTTCCTTGGCCAGCAAATTTTACCAGTCTTGCCTAGGAGGATGGTAACAATAAAATGGTACACCTGTGGTCTGCCACAAGGCCACATATGCACTTAATCATCTATACAATACTTAATAAAGTCGTTTTTCTTCGTATTTTTATTGAGCAAGCGCGGGGTGTTACTATTCTTTGTTCACGATTAAGCTGACGTTTCGGCGGATTTCGCCTTCTTCAGAGCCTGGAAAGGTCAAGTTGATAGCAATCCACTCGGCCAGACGCCTCCATAACCAAACAAAGAAACCCCAAACCAAGATTTCAATCACTTTGAACACAGCTTTGCACACTCACCGCTTTCTATGAGGTTTCCACTAAGTATGTCACGTAGAGACCAACCGCACAGAAATCACGTGGAATTTTTTTTTTTTTTTTTTTCCAGAAAAGCAGTTTTATATACTGCCCTATATCACGCGTGATAATGAGGCATTCTTCCCTGC